CATGATTTCAAATTACCTTTCTAAGCGCATAAGAGAACTAAAATGGAAATATAATTTCTTATTTAATACAATTTTACCTGAAATAAAATATTTAAAAACTTCAAAAAATTTGCGAATACAAAAGAACTTTTTTGAAGAAAAATCGTACGTACCCTTGACATGTTTCAAAACAATTTCTCGTATTTTTTGGCATTACAAATTTAACACTCAAAGATAAAAATTTTATGAAGGTTTGTACAAGGCAACGCTACAGAACATTTCCAGGTTTCAGATTGTGACAATTTTAATAGGCCGAAACAGGTACAATCTACGACACGAAGTCTATAAGATACGGCATAAAATGCCGACTAAAGGAGTTGTATTATTAATCTATTTTCTATTTGTACATTTTGTAGGTCGCACATTTTAATAAAAACGTTACAACTCTTTATTTATGAAACAGTACGACTGACCTAAACTTGATAGTAATTTTTTTTACTTATCTTTACAAGCTTTAAAGCCTAGGACGGACTAGCCTAGGACTGAAACAATTATAACGCCATTAATCTTATGCATCGATCGATATTCTCGTTGGCAAACTTGATGGATACTTGAATGATGAAAGCTTGCGCAGTAACCAAGATGTAGCCATAGAAATTATCGTTTTCAGCCTGAGGTCATGCTAATTACAGGACAGTATACATAATTTTGGAATTTTAAGTTTTAAACGATCAATCTCTAGACTTCCAGGAAAGGGGGTGGGAGAGAGAGAGAGAGAGAAAAGACAGCCCCTAGAGTAGTGCAACGGTTGATCAAACACATAATAATTTAAAGTTATTCTTGTATTTAGGAAAGAGAAAAGTTGGGACGCGGGGGCGTGAATCGTATACGAATGGAACAATATGCCAACTCGTGCATAAGGTGTACGCACATGTGTGAGGGTGTGTGAGTAGTGTCGCTTTATGATTATAAATATAATGGTTAAGGCAAAAGGGCGCAGTTTTTTCACTTTTCAATCGGCATTTATTATACATTTGCGGTTAAACATGGGCCTCGCGCGCGCGCGCCAGCTTATAATACTCCTAGGTTTTGTGATGGCAACGGACGAGCTGTAACCACGGCGACGCTTTGTTGTGCGTATGCGGCTAGACCAGAGTGTGTCCGCCAATATAGGTACGCGCGATATATAGATACACCGCACCGACGAGTGTATACTATTCCGCCACTGACCCTTACGGTATACATGTTGAGCAAGTTTCTCGCTTTCTCTCTCTCTTTCTCTCTCGCGCTTTTTTTCCTACTTTTTGCAAGGCTCTACATTTTTCTTCTTCTTTTTTTCATGTTCTAGCCTCACGAAAAAAGTTTGTGCAACAAAAAAAAGTTTAGTTGGTTTTGCTTGCCTGGTTTGATTCGATTTATAGGGCGGCTTCTGCAGCTAGGCGCGCGCTACTGCAAGAGGATGAAACTGTTTGACTTATACTTTACCGAGCTTGCATTTAGAGCGATCTTATACTGCCATGAAATGTACGAGAGTTTGAAAATCTCTTTCCTCTTTGTTTTGTTTCTTTTGAATTTTCATACAAGTAGATATAAACTTCAATAAATTATAAGAGCCCTGCTCGGTCCGTGACGCAAGTGCATTAACTGGTCTTTGCATTCGAAAAAATAAGGAACATTTCTATGAGATAAGTTGGGTCGTTGTCAATGATGATTTATCTGCTTAAATTTTTACCAAAAAATTATTGAATTTTGGAAGAAATGAAGAGTAAAAATTACTTGAATAACGATGATTCAAATTTGAGATTTGAACAATAAAAGGAAAAAGAAAAGCTTCCAAGTCTCAAGAAGAAAATAATTAAGTAAAAAAGTTAGGTAGCACAATTGTCAGTGGCAGCTGAAACACGCAGCTGCGAAAAACTGAAGAGAATACAAGAATCTTCACAAACAGATATTACTGTTCTATCAAGTCTAATTTTAAACTAGTCATACGCACAGCAAAAGAAAAAAAATTTAAAAAAGAAAGAAGAAAGAAAGAATTTTTATATAGAAAATTGAAAGTTATGATATAGAAAATCGCTTGTGTTTGACTGCCTTGGCCGAAAGTCGGAGTATAAAATCTGATTAAATTTAAATAGCCAAAGAGAGCCGGAGGTAAAAGCCGATAGCCTCTTTGCAATTGCGCGCGGGAGTGAGACGTTATATTATACATATATCTATATTGTGCCGGCTACTCGGCAGCGCGACTTCGACCTCAACCCTCGGTGTTTCCAGAAAGCGGAAACCGGCGTTTTCCTCAATTGCACAAACGTCGAATTATAAATAATGGCACTCGAGTGTTGTATTATACACCACTTGGCTTTATTCATTGTGTTATATATTCAGCGCGTATATAGAAAAAAAAAGCTACGGTCTATATGCAGCCATCCCCCTTCTGCCACACACTCTCTTTGCTCTTGTGTTCCGTGAAGATCTATAAACTACTTACTTATACTTAAAGTATAATACGAAGAGAAGCAAAGGAAAAAGCGAGTCTAGATCGAAGAATATGTACGGCTCTAGCGAGTGAAACTTTACGGAGAAATTGCACCCGCGCGCTATAAATATGATACACGCGTAGGTAGGCTACGTGCGCCGCGCGAGCCACCCGCTATTTTCCAACTCGAGCGGATGCAATGCCGAGAGCGAAAATTATTGCTACACCACCACCTCGTCCCCAAGTCCGAGGGAACAAATAAGGAACAATTGCTGTCGCCTGCATAACCCACGGTCATTTTTTTCTCCTCCACGACGACTTTTTCTCTCTTTCCGATTCTTACGATCCATTCGTATAAGGCAACGCTGAACTGCTTCGATATTGCAATTTTCGATCGATATATGCGCACTCACTGACATTTATTTGCAAAGTCGACGTTAAATTTTTGCGCATACAGAAATTCTATCGATGAGAAGCCACAACAAAGCGAGGACGAGCAAGCGAGATTCGAAAAAGTACGAAAAGTGACGGTTCCGCTTTTATTAACATTGTGCGCCCATAAAGTCCTTGCATTAATTTTCGAACAAGACTCAGAAATGCTTGTAAAAGACGGAAATTCGTTTGTACGGACAAAGAATATAAAGTAAAATAAAACATGAGGCGCGTCTACGATGAAACCATAACGTAAGAAAACACATAAACGCACACATTTGCTTCGCTTCAATGCCAATTTTCTTTGCTATATAGTTTCTCAAGATCTTCGAACGTGCGAAATTGAATTTAACAGATTTGACCTTTAGTTTTGTTTGTCTTTTGTAACGACAAATATTGGCTCTGTACTATCAGATAAATTTTAAGAGTAAATTAGAATTCATTAAGAATATGCATTGTTTCAAGTTCATTTGCAGCATATAAATGAAAATTGTAGTTTACCATATCATCATAATGTAAAAATCGCGTGGCTTAAGTATGCTTTGTGAGAATCTTTCGCGGCAGATTGCTTTTTACGGTTAATTCAAGTTTTACGAAGAAATGAAGTCATAATAAAGCGTTGGTCAGATTTTGCGCACGGCTATTGAGAAAAATGTAAACATAAATGCTAGTGAAAAAGTAATCTCACTTTTTAAATGAAATTTCTCATTTTTTCGTTTTTTTATTTATAGAGAATGGCCTAGGTATATATCTGGTATTAAATAAATCATATTTGGTAGTCGAATCGCACTCACATGGTTGAAATTGAAATTTTCGCGAATTAATAATGCTCATCATTTATATAAAATATTTGAAAAGTAAAGCAACGTCGAAAGGTGTCGACAACGCAATTAAAAAAGTGAATATTCACTCAGTTGGGAAATATTCTTCGCGCATGACTTGATTGGCTTTTTCATTGCCCAATTAATACGACGATGCAGAGCGAAAATTTGCAACTAATGCGAATATCTTATCTGACTATGATAAGGAGAGAGATAATGCAAAAATTACATTTTTGCTAGTGACAGTGTGAAAATTTTCAACGATGAATGTCTTTAGTCTGTAAGAATTGCTATTTAGCCGCAAAATGTGGCTAAATTAAAAATTTAATAATTTTAGGGCATATTTTTTTCGAGAAATGTTAAGTTAATTATTGATTTAAAAAAACAAATTCGATTGTTATCAAGAGCACGCTCGAATCTCGAACTAATTTAATAATATAATTTTATCGCAAAATTAATGACAGACTGTTCCAATGGTCGTACGTGATGTGAGATTTGTTCCAGACGAACTGATTTTTGAGAATAAGAAAGGAAAGCAAACTTGGCGCTTACAAGTCATTACACATCAAAATATCAAATATCGAGATATTTGAAATATGTAAGATACGTTTAAACTAGCACATAACCTAAGAAAGAAGCGTCATAATAGGACGCGTTGTAGGATAAAATATGGAGCAGAATATGCCTATATGGTACAATTGAAAGTGTATAATTCGTGCAGTCTATAGAGTCGTTGCATCTCAGAAATGTCCCTTTGTTCCCTCTGCAGTGAAAGACCATGAGCTACCCTTGAGAATCGTGGCGCAATACAGAGACGCCAGAAGCATAGGCAAATTATTCCGTGCAAATTAAGCGCAAAAAAGTTGAAAAATGTCTAAATGACGAAGGTGACGCGGCGAGACAGCGACACAACAAATAATGAATGCGCCGATGAGAAACAAACGTTACATATATATCTAGATAAATGCGTGTGTGCATGCTGAACATGGCATGTAGATGGATCGATAGCTGCGACTAGTAGTAGAGTGATGTAGAGCGCTGCGCGATGCAACTAGACGTACTATACATTAAACCGTCTAGTTGACGAACACCGCACGCTTCTTTTTCTCTCGCCCTCTCTCTCTCTCTCTCTCTCTCTTTCTATCTCGCTCTCTGAGGCAATAGCACACATATAACGCACGAGACACTATATAACGCACTTTATTATCATCACACCTATATGCACACAAACAACACTTAGCGCACAAAACAAGCCTCGTATTTTACATGATATAAGCAAAGGGTCGGTTACGTACCAAAAGGCAGCAGCAATTGGCAAAAGATGGGACGTACAAAAAAATCCGTTTCCTTTTTTGGGACCGATGTGACTGTGGTCGTAGAGTACACAAGTGCGACGAGCCGGGAGTAGTAATTTTCAGGAGAGTTTGGGCTACTACAGTCTACAAGTTAGAGCCTGAGCGAGTATAACATAGAAAGTCGCACGGCTGGTACGCGGCAGAGCGCTAAACATCCACAGCAGCGCAGCGTCGTGGCGGCATAATGAATATTATGATGCTGGCGATGCGACTGACGCGTGGCGCCCTCTGTAAGCTTTCCGCGGTGATGTCTGTATCGAATCCGCGTAATTTCGCGCTTTCTCGTCTGTCGCACTTGTGATTTGTGTATGTAAATGTCACGTTTCTGCCGGCGACTTACCGAGAAATTTTCAAATTGAACTAGTGTCGCCATGTAGCGAGACTTTTGACAATTATATTTACCACGCAGTTCGTTATCGACTTGATTTTATCGACCAAAGTCCGTTGTCAATATTTCTAATTCAAATTTATATTCGATCGCGAATCGGCCTATTATTACATCTCAACTTACCAGTTGCACAGTAAGGAGGGCATTCTCTTGAAAATTCATCATGTTGAACGATGAAACGTTTGACGTGCTGATGGAAATACGACAAGTGGACAAACAAATTTCATACTGTAAACATCAAGTTGAAATAGAAACACAGCAATTGGCTGATTTGGAAAGAAAAATCAATCGTGTTCAAGAAGAAAAACTGAAAGCTCTTTCACTCAAGCATTGCGTTGAGGAGCAGACTTTATACTTAAACAAAGAATTTGAACATATTCATCAAGTATATGATTCATCCATTGAATACTTTGACAAGTATGTAGATATTGTAGATGATCTAGATCCCAATGATAGCGATGAAGAGGCCAAAACTATTGCAGAATTAATAAAGCGCAGAGATACTTTGTTAAAGAATATACAACAAACTGCAAAAGAAAAAGAGGAAATAGCAAGTAAATTGAATGACGTTGAATTACAAATACGAATGGTTCAGGTGTGTATTGATAATTTTTACTAATCAATTATGTACATAAAAAATCCATTATTTTTACTTGATATTGACATATTCAAACACATTTTTACATATTTACACGTTATATATTTTCTTATTCCTCAGAAAAGAAATGAAGAATATAAAGTTAAACTTCAAAAAGTTTTAGATCAAAAACTTCAAGAAGAAAGAGATCTTCAGGCAAAATTGAATTCTGATTGAATTAGTTAGAAGATTTTTTGCCAATTAATTGTTCAACGCACTCCCTGTTAAACTCAATTTTTCCTTTCAACTCTGATAGATCCAGACTCAGTAGTTCTTTCATTTTCTTTCCTATAACATTTACTTTTTTTCTTTTCATGTTAAGATCTTCCATCATTCTTTCATTTTCAATATTTTTTTCATCTATGTACTTTTTTAAGATTTCAGATTCGTCTATGATTTTTTTTGCGTCTAGTGTTTTCAAATGTTGTATTACATTTCCTGGTGGTCTCCTGTAATAAAATATGCTTATTTATATGTACTAATTGAAAAAAAGTTTATCTCAATTTACCATAATTTTTCATCTTTTGGAAATGGAGTTTCTTCAATTAGTTTTTCAAGCTGACTCATACCCTCAACAAGACTCTCATCAGAAACTAACTCTTGTAAATCTTCATTCATTTTGTTAAATAAATCAGTTTCCATGAGTTTGTGCAATTTTTTCAAATTGGATGATGATATCTTCATATCCTTGAAAGCACTTTTGAATTCATTTTCACTGAAAACAAAATTATTCAAATTATTGTAATAATTACTATACTTCATAAAATTTATTGAGACTCACATTTGCTTGAAAAATTATATCCTGACTTTTTCCTCCATTTTATTGTTAACTATCTTCCCCACTTTGAACGAGTCATTATTATAGTAAGGATAGATTGTTTTTTTTTTTTAAGATGCTCACAGTAACAATAAATAAATAAAGAATAGAAAAATTGAGCTTGATAAAAAAAGAAAGAACGTTCTTTGCAGTGTTTGAGTAAAAGAAGTGCAAAACAATGATTAAAAAAATGACACCTCACCTGACGCATTTTGAGATTTCGTTAAAAATGTTCGACATCGTAGCTTCGAACGTCAACAATTTATTCGATCCAGAGGGCGAATCCTGTTTCCCGGGTGATGACATCGCGGTAAGTTGAAATTTCGAACGTTGACTTTTTGAGTAAACAAGCAGAAAAGAAACTATGAATTTGCACGTAAACACACAGACATTCGCGGTGGCTTAGCCGTTTTTGTGTTGTTTGCTTGCACCGTAGCAGCAGCAGTGCACATACTGAATCGGGATTCTGTAGGATGGTTACAGAAATATGTGTGTTATTGCTGAGTTTTATGCGCGCCAATTCGCTACTCCCATATCAAATCCACAAGTGCCGTGGGTACCGGGCGGCTAGCCGTTAGCAAAGCAGATTTAGCAGTACAATACAAGTCTCCATGTTCGCTAGCGACATCTTGATGCTTCTTACAGAGCTTGATTTTCAAATATTGTATGCATGCTAATGCGAGTTCCTGACATTTCGGAAGCTGCAGCGATGAACGGGACGTTGTTGGCGAATGACAAAGTGATTTTTGGTTTAGTTACATTCAATGAGCTGATTGATACATTGTTTAGAATCATTTATTATCGTTATTACTTAGTTTTGTCCATGAAACATTTTGGAAAATTGATTTAAAGATACATCACTTTTACAATTGTGTATCGTCGTTCTATAAAATATCAAAATGGCAAATCTTATTACAGTCTAATAATTTTTTTAAATTTAATATTCTAAAAATTTCGCAGTTTCCGCATGCCATGCATACTCGTTACGAAACTGATCAAATTTGAGCACATTTTATTTAAAAAAAAGCAATCAATTATTGATTTTGTACTTACGTAGGCGATTTTGCACGACTAGATTGAAATGTAGGAATTATAGAAATTTTTCTTAATTTCATATAGTATCTTCCTTAAGCTTAAGCACAAGTAGTTCAAAATATAGTTGTACAATAGTTTTTTTGTGCAATATAGCAATAATGTTAGTTTGAAATTTCTTCTTTTTTTTGTTATTTCATTTTACATAATAGATCCAGAATGGTGTCATTTGTTCAATTCAGTATAAAGTATTAGGCCTTAGAAACATTGTACTTTGTTATTACAAATATATTGGACTAGCTTATATGAGAAATGCTGTATATTTAAGCGACCCAACGAATCAAGTATATAGTTCAATTTTAGATCAGCAGTTGACATTTTTTTGTTGCATTAATCTTACTTGATTCTAAAATACGATATACATACACACATTTATTCGCGATGGCGGTTATGTCATAGAGACTTACATTTAGTATGCTACTATTATTGTCAGTTACTCTTACTCACACAATCGATTACAAGCGTGCATATAAAATTCAGTGGCGAATTTTTTTCTCTATACGATCAAGAGTCGAAATAAAAATCACAGTTTCGCTACGTACGTTTGATTTTTCGATTCAAATGTTGTGCGTGCTTGATAATATATTACTCATAGCGTAAGCTTTACACGAATAACATGCCAAATAAAAATTATAACATTTTAAAAGTAAATTCATTTAAATATAATCATTACGTAGCTAGTAGACAAAGTATAAAAATCTTATAATTATCAAGAAAGTCTTATGTAAAGGAAAGCCTTTGGAATAATAGTTTTTACAAGCGCTGAATTAAATACTCCTCGAAAGTTTGGTCATTAGGCTGTATCCAGTTTGTCGGTTTATTCGACTCTCTCGACGCTCGTGTTGGAGGATTTGGCGAACATCAAAAACAGCTGCTCCAGCGTCGAGGAAAGGACCGCGAAGTCTTCGACGCTTTCGTATTTATCCTTCACCTCGGTGCAAGCGTCGAACATACGTCTCCAAGTTGTGTCTTTCGGTATTACATGGTACATTATATAGCCCTTCGGAAAAAATTCAATCAACATCCATTATCATACAATCGAAAGCGTTAGATACTTTTGTAAACCGAATATAGTTTTTATTCTTGCCTTGTTTTCATCGATGATTTCGCAATGCAGAGCATCGCTTATACTTTTTTTAATATTTTCAATTTCGTCGGGGGACTTTTCGGGATTCATTTTTATCTGAATATTGTAACCAGCACCGAATCGATGTTTCAGCTCCTGGGATGGACCCATGCAGACGAGTTTTCCTTCGGCCATTATAGCTAATCGGTTGCACAGTGCCTCGCACTCTTCCATGCTAGATACCGAAAACGGGGGTAATAAATTTTGTATACCGACCACGAATAAATTTCGATTAATTTTACACGTACCTATGAGACGTTAAAATAACAGATTGACCCATATTTTGGCAGGTCTTGATGACGTTCCAGAGGGCCCGCCTGGCAGTGGGATCAATTCCCGTCGTCGGCTCGTCCATAAGAACCAAGCTCGGAATACCGATCAAAGCCATGGCTACGTTCAATCGTCGTTTATTGCCACCGCTGTAAGTATCGCAAGCTTGATGCGCCCACAAATTCAAGCCTTCAAACGAGTAAAGAGTTAAAGCAGTTTGAATTATAGCGCGCAAGCTTCGAGGCGTAAAATTTCTATAAAATAGTCTTGCGACTCGTGAAATTATATACCGACCTAATTTGTCAATCCACTTCTTGACTTCCGCGTCGACTTGATCGTCCGGTATACCTCTTAAACGAGCGAACAAGCGCAAATGATCGTAGGCGTTCAACGAACCGAGCATCGCGTCTTGCTGAGGACAGTAGCCCATCTGCGACAAATACTGCAAGTCGAAGAAATTACAATTTTATTAACGCCATCAAGTGTAAGCGTCAACGAGATGCAATTGCGTCGCGCGACTTACGTGATAACGGTGCTGCTTCAGATCTTTGTTGCCGAGGTACATAATGCCGTTGCTGGGCGTCTCTTCGCCCGTGATGAGCTTGAACGTGGTGGTTTTGCCGGCTCCGTTGACTCCGAGCAAGCCGAAACATTCGCATTGGCGCACGCCGAAACTCACGTCTTGCACCGCGACTAGCTTTCCGTAAAGTTTGCGCAACTCGTACGCGAGAAATACGTGGTTCGGTGGGGCTTCTTCGTTCGTAGGAGTGGTACCATTGGTCTCTGCCTTTTCTTTGGCTCCAGTTGTTTCGATCGGTTTTGGTGTTTCTATTCATGACATTGGCATTTAACCTCGTAATCTTCACAATGTCTTGGGGAATTATTTATGAAATGCGATCGGAGTACTTACGACCACTGCGAATTTTTGATATTTCTTGGGCGATATTGTGCTTGGTCTTCTTTACCTGCTCCTCGAAGCTCTGGTCGATTTTATCCGGCTTACCTCCGCGAATTTCAGCGATCATTGTGGGGATAAACTTAAACTCCAACATGCAAAGGATGAGCACGTACAGTATCGGTGTGAGGCACAAACTTATGAGACTAGCTTCCATGCTAATGTCTTCCTTGAAACTATCTAGAAACTTGAGCGGTGTGATGCAAGTCCCATTGCTGCATCGTAGATCTGCAACATTATTAATATCGTATAAAGCGAATTATTTTGTCATTATTTCAATGTAATTTTTACCGCAACAAGGAGTCGCCCTGCAAAGCTGCTCCGGATTGAAATAGTACGACATGCGTTCGCAGTTAGCGTTGGTTTTGGCCGTACTGAAAAATGATACTTGAGCGTGGAAAAAGCCAGTGTAAGGTGCCATGAGGAACAGAACCTTCTGAATTGGTCGAATGATGTTCATGGTTTTTGAGTGTCCCATTAGAATCAATGTTACCGCATTCATAACTAGCTCGAGGAGAACTGCAATAATTTTCATTTTTAATCGATGCATTAACCTCATTTTTTTAAATTATTTGCAAGCTTACTTATTCCAATGGGCAATAAACTCAATAACTTGACTCCTGCTGTCGTAGAACTTTTCCAAAAGCTAAAACAGTACACTAAAGGTAAGAAGCCTAATCCGAACAGAACAAATATGCCCAAGAATACAACTGTAATGGGGTAAATGAAAATTAGTTTGGAGTTCTGACAAATTAAAAGTTTCGTATACTTCAGTAAACTCACAGAATTCGATTCCGCCGAAAATTCTCAATCCCAATGAGCAGTCGACAATTATAAATCCAACCACAAGAAGGACGCTCAGCATGATGAACACAACGTAATCGAAGGCGAACATCGTTCCCCAATACTTCAAACACGATGCCCCGGCCATTCTTTGCAGCTGTTTGATGTTGTTGATGTTTTCTCTTAGCGGATGAACAACGAAGAGAGCTGTCAACGGGAACAAGAAAAATACGAGCAAAAGTGCAATCACGTAAGCTTCGACCACGCCCATGTTAGCTTCCAAAATGATCATCGACTCGTCTCTGGCTCTTGGAAATTCTTGCACCGCGAAGCGAATGTTGTACTCGTTGCCTACCAAAGTCTTCAGAATGGTGTTGGTCAAGAGATTGACGGAAATCGGCAGCGAGTAAGCCGCGCGAGTCGGATTGTAAAATGCCGCGGTGACGATGTTGTTGTTGGTGCGATTGAACGTCGCGCCGGCTATGTAATTGTAGGCGTAGTGCTCGGCATCGTTCGAGCCGATAGATAATAGCGCTAAAATTATTAATTCACTCGTCAATGTTGCCTGTAATGATCGGTATTGTATAAGAGCATATATCTTACCTTCTTCAAAGGCATGATCTTCTCTCCTCACTTCGACAGGTGTACCGCCGGAATCCCCGACCGTCCACCTATAGTGACGTCCAAAAGGCTTACTGAAATTATCGATTTTGTACAAGACCCTAGGATCGTTGTATCTGTCCAATCTCATCGGTATTGGCTGAGGATCGGGGTGGCGTGGGTTATAATCCACCAGTATCAGCGTTATGAATATCAAAGGCAGCAAAATCTTAAATTTCAATCAATTCAAATCAAACCGCGCTGGATACACAGACAAATTTCAAAAAAAATTTGATCAGTTATTATCACTTACCAAAAATAGTTTTACTAAAAGGATTGATACATTTTTATAAGTATATGTTAGTTTCTTGCGCAATAAAGCCATTATGATATTTAAGCACAGATCTTGTTCGTTCAGTTTTTTGCCTACGCTCATGAACGATTCCGTTTCATCGGTTGTATCTTCTTCATCGGCAGTTACCCTAAAATGAAAAAATCATTACAATCATTTATATACTCATTCTTTTTCATCAACGCATTCGTCGCTCTACGTACTTCGTAAACACTTGCTCTAAAGTAAGCAGGGATACACTCATGCCAGTGACGCCGAGCTCTTTCTTCCTGTACTCGACTTTATCCAGGAGGTCCGGTAAATCGGCCGTTTGAGGCAAGCTGACAACCATTTTTTCTCTATCTGAGCTGAGTATTTCGCACTGAGAGCCCAAGACCACATGAATTTTTTCAGGATTACACGTGCCATCGGTCGATAGAGTTACTTCGATATTTCCTTGACCTTTAAAAATTAACGCTTACCATGATTAAATCTGTGCTATAAAATTTATTTCTGGTAATAAAAGGCTTGAAATAATCACCCAGTAATTTTTTCAGATACATCGGATTGCCATAGCTTCTTAATAAACCACCATGTACAATGGCTATTCTGTCACCGAGTATATCTGCTTCCTCCATATCGTGAGTACTTAAAATTATTGTTTTCTTTCCTCTCATTTTCTATAAAATCAAAATAAATGATTTTTTAGGTTTACGTTATATTTTTAAATGTTTATTTCAAAAAATTCAAAAATTCTTAACTAATAGCACATCCCAAACGTCTCGTCTACTTTCAGGGTCCAAACCAGAAGTAGGTTCGTCTAAAATGAGGATCTGAAAAAAGACAACAAATAAATAAAAAAAAGATCCTGGCTATAGCCGTAATTAAAAAAAATGACGTACTTCTGCTCCCCCCACTAAAGCCATTCCAAGACATAATCGACGTTTCTGCCCTCCAGATAATTCATGAGGTAAACTATGACGTTTTTCGAAAAGCTTAAGTTCTTGTTGCAATAGTACAACAGAATTTTTCATATCAGCTTCCGAATTTTTGTTGTTCTTCAACTGGTGTATGAAAAAAAGAATTATTTTTTTTAGTACTTGAAATTTAAATTAGTTAGATTAGATCTTTTAAAAATTTAAGCATACTCTGGCAAAAAATTTTAGTTGTTCTTGAACGGTAAGGCTTGGAAATAGCATGTTTTCTTGCGGACACAATCCCATAGTATTTATTATTTCGTTCATTTTATCTCTTATATTTTTCCCATTTACCAAGACCAAGCCCTCGGTTGGACTTGTCATACCTGAAAAATTGATATTTTCATGAAAATATTTTCAAAGTTATTTTAAATATAAAAATTTACCTGATATAATCGACAGGATTGTAGATTTTCCTGCTCCATTATGACCCAGTAAAGCTGAAATTTGTCCTTGATAAAAATCGACTGTGACCCCTCTGAGGGCACGCACTTCCTATAAAATACAAGTATAAGAATTTCGTTATGAAAATAAATTAAAGTTTGATTTAATATAGTTTTTAGTACACACCGAGCGAGTACAAACATTCGAGTTATAAGTTTTTTTCAAATTTCTGAGTTGAATTTCTGGTGTGTAAATTCCTTCAGCTACTGCTTCGAAAGGCTTGTCAGAATTATCGTGAAATTCAAAATTTTCAACTTTATCGTAATCGTGCGATTTTCTAGATTTCAAGAACTGAAATGAACATGTTTTTAGTTCATGAAAATTCAACACAGTGTATTTATAACTATTATCACCTTGAGGAAAAAGAATGGATTTCGTCTTGCTCCGTATTTCCCGGGATTTATAATATAAATATAGCAGGCCATAGCGAAATGGAAAAGAGCTCCAATCAAAGAGAATATTAAAACTATTCCGATACTGCCTTGAGTACCGTACTCCCGGTGACCAGCTTTGAAAATGTTGTTGAAGTGTGTCCCTTTAACTAAAATTGTAATAATTTATATTGATATTCAGATTCAGAAAAAATATTTAATAAATGAACAAGCGCAAAGGGCATTTTTACCGATAGTTTCATAATAATTAATTTCTTCGCAAGCTCGAAAGAGTAAAATGTTTGGGAAAAATATTCCTAAAAATGGTATGACAGCGTGGCCACTTTCTTTCACTCCATATTTTTGTAGTAAATTCGATCCAAAATAAATAACAATTAGAGCCGTTGTTAAAAATAAAGCTGAAAATAAAAGTTACATGTATTCATTATGAATTTTTATGGTGTTTTGTTCTAAATTTGAAAAGTTTTAAATCTCTTACGTCTTGTGAAATATGCAGATATGTGCATTCCGAAAGTAATTAAATGCGTAATATTGAAAAGAAGTATCATAAGTAAAATGAATGTATTTCCATAATATAAAAATGGCAAAGCAGTATGAGACGATGTAAAATTGACCACGATTACGATCGGTATGATGTAAAATAAACTTAAAAGAATCCCAGTAACCAACCAACTTAGCAGATTCAAAAAGTTCGGAACGCCATTAATTGCCATTAGTACCTGTAAAGTAGGGGTTGAAATTTAATCCACAATTTTTTAAAATAATATAAATATCTTTGCACCTACATTAACACCGAGAAACTTTTCTTGCGAGGCATAGTAAGTTTCTATGCAAAAGGGAATCAAAAAGGCCACAAGTATAAATAAAATGAACGACTGTCTGAAAAGCTCATCTCCAATATCTATTTTTACATGAGCTGGTGTTGGCATATGTTGCGTAAACATCTAATTGTAATATAAATTCATTAAACATTATTATTTATATTCATTAATTAAAAACTCGATATTGTAAAAATTAAGACGAGACTAAGTACGTACATATAAATTCAAATGCAGGTGACTAGTTTTCATTCTTATTATGGCCTCGTCTAAACACAGTTGCAAACCTGTTAATCCGCCACTGAATACATCACTTGTGCTTGGTATTCTGCTGTTGTAAATTGATGTTGGAAGTGAATCAGATGTGAGTATTTTGTATTTAAAGTTGATGGTCGAAAAATCAGTCGTTTTATTGTCAAACACCACGGCCATAATGGTTTCATTATAGTTTTTTTGCTGAATCTTGTAACTATTCAGCATGTCTTTTTCGGTACTGAAAGCGGTGACAGCTAAAATAACGAGTCATCGGTTAACGGCTAAATCCCATCAAACTTTTTAAATCTCATTCGTGTAAAGCTTACAATCAGCCGGTCCCATGTCAAGGCAGCTTTTCACATAATTAATCAAAACGCTGACCGCGTATGTGTCGGGCACCACATAAAGTCTGAGTACGCCTTGTACTGCGTGAGGTCTATTAGTTTCCAAGGGGTAAGTCTGATTTTTTGTGATTTTGGTCGGTGGGTGGGCTACCATGTTCCGAACGCCCCATATTGTAAAGAAAAGCAATAGGGGTACCAATACTTCGATCAAAGTTAATTTCCAGTGTCTTTTACGAACTTGATAATCCTTATAGACCAAAAGTCCGAAAGCTCGTGACAAATTTGAACACATTTTGATTTATTTTTCACTTGTGCGTCTTCAAATAGTATAGATTTCCGGCTGAAATTCAAAATGGAAATTCATCTGCAATACTATTTTTTATACTAATTTTTAAAATTAATTCATATATCATATATCATCTGCATATTTATAAAAGATATTAATATCAACTAGAATTGAACGACTCTTTTTTATATTGTTTTATCGTTTTTACTAATAAATAATTCAAGGCGATACTATGAGGAAAAAGTTCAGAAAACGCGTCACGTTAGAAAATAAATGAAAGTTTAAACACTCTGAAAATTGAATAATTATTTGCTTATATAATAATACGTTGGCAATCGGGCAATTTTTCTAATCAAAATAATGCTTTAGTCTCTAATGTTAAGTACCGGAAATGTTTCGATATTTGAAGCGTAAATCCTAATTTTCATAGTTGCTTAAAATAAAAATATGATAATGATAAAAGTTGAAATATTCTGCTGACGGAAGCATTAATACATTGCGATTACTATTAACTAGAACAAGATGCTACGCACAGTGTAGTAAGCTCATGCATCGTTACCAAGTCAACGGTGCGTCGAATTAGCCGCAAAGTAAACCCCCTGGAACACTTACCATTTCTCTTTGCACTAAACATATTAATTTTTCAATAATTATCAACGACTCATTGAGGCACTGTTCACAATAATCTCGAGAAATAATAATCGATTGTTTATTATCACTTTTTGGATAACGAAAAATATTGTCTAAAAGTCGTTGCTACGACGAAGCGCGTTAGGTAGCCGCTGGCGAGCTTCGGTTTTCTTTGTTCCGATGTCTTGCCGGTATGGAAGTTTTCCGAGCCCTCGAACGGCAGCCGTTGCTCGAGAAAAACAAAACGATGACACTTGCTACCAACGCGAGTCTTTGATTGGCAAAAAGATTTTTTGCAAAAAAAGAATCGTCGGGATGCGTAAGACGGGATAATTGGTGAAAGAGAGGAGAATCGTCGACGGCGTTGTGCATATAGAGCGCAGCGGCGAACGCACTGCGAGATAAGCTTTCGTACGCGGTGCGCGCCCCACCCGAGCGGTTCTTTGGTCGTCGGTCGGCGACGACGCTCGACGGCGCGCGTTTTGTTTCCCGCCGCGGTGGCGCCTGGTACATAGCTACCAACGACGCTCGAGCGCCGAGACTAGAGAGAGAGAGAGAGAAAGAGAGAGAGCCCCGCGCGCGATCGATCCGCGATTTCGCGCTTTCCGAGCCTGCGACTCGCAACGAAACTCCGCCCGGATGAATCACCGGTCATTAGACTGCGAGGGCGAGTGAGTGAGCGAGCGAGGGTGGATCGGCATTCTCTCCGTCTCTCTCTCTCTTTCTCTCTCCTGTGCGTGCGTATATTCGTTTAGCTGCGACACTCGCGCGCAATATACAACTCGTAACGCTGCGCAAGCAAGGGGTGGTAGGATGTAGACGGCGTCGCATACGTATACGTGCATTACATTCGCAGGAGGTGAGCGAGCAAGCTGCCTCATGCCGAAGGGGCGCACTGCGTCCGATCTAAGTTGCCGTTGCTAACTCGCGGACACCCACTCACCGCTCAACCTTATATTGCTATTATATTGCTTGCTATCGTGTATACGTTCCATGTAATGTACTCGCTCGTCGATGCCACTATGATCAGTAGGTTTTTGTTTTGTTTTTTACGAGAGTCCAGCGCATCGATCCGCGCTTCGTGCTGTTCTTTTTGCCTTGGGATGAAAAAAAAAAGAACGAACGAGATGTCCAAGAGAGACGAGAGAGCCGAAGGTGAAATCGATTGGAACGTGCCCGAAGAGTGTATGCAAAAAGGCTCATCGCTCCGTGCCAATCTCAGCAGCGTCGACTTTATATTATTCAACTCATTTGACAAAGTACGCAGGAAAAACTGATGCGCTGAAAGGTCGACTCGTTCAAATGCGCGTTTCATCGCAATGCCGTGTCTCAACGATTGTAATATCCACCCCTCGGTTTTATGCACCCTCGCTATCTTACTCATAGCCTATCAACGGAATTGCCGATATACCAGCTCCGGGAGTAATGTAATTACTAATTGCAGTATATGTTTCGACCTAAATTCTACCTTACAAAAATAATCTTGCGACTTATCTACGTGCTAAAGTACTTTGAGACACGACATCATTATCGACACTAACGTTTCTGATCGAGTTACGAAATCTTGCATTCAATCAACTCAACCCAGAGCCGGCCAACCTGACTTTTGGTAAAAACATGCAAGGAAAGAATTCTAATTTTTTGTATTTTAATTTGCACGTATTGTAGTATTCATTAATTGTCCTCATAATCTATTTAACTTAATATTCAGGTAATCAATTCTCGTGAAAAAGATATTGCAACATAAAACTTGTACTGACTTTCAAATATTACAAATATTTTTTTTGTCGATGTCATATTATAAACTCGAAAAAGTGTTGTCCAAAAGTTTTAAAACTGATACATATTTAGATATCAGGTGTACTGAGCGCGTAGGACCGTATCTATACATTGAATTGCGAGGACCCTACAAGTATCTGTTAAAAAAATGTTTCCCGTCGATTAAAATTGGTTTTACCGTTCTTTGTTTTACTTTACATTTTCGTAATTTTTATTTTTTAAACATCTTTCATTCTTTGAATCTTTATCGAATACTGAAAGTTTGGGAAAACTAAATATTTTAAACGTAATCGTGCTGCATATTACGAAGATTGAACAGTCTTTATGGCCAAGCCCTATGAGAATGCGTGCCAAATTGCATAGTTTAATAATGCTTTCTGTATTTTTTTGCACCAATCTAATGTTTATTTATTATTTCGTCATGAACTATGCCTAAAAATGATATCCTCAAACTTTTATGAAAAATTAACTGTTTATAATAATTCGGTTGGCCACCTGAACAAAATGTAATTAAAAGTCAGTAAGCTTCGTATCATAAACATGTCATGAATGGCTAATGAATTTCGTGAAGAATATATTTAACAATTATTGTGTAATGATAGCTAAAAAATAAATTGTAAGCACTTCTCGAAAAAACGCAGCATCATCGTTTAACGTGTTACCGGCCGAGTCAAAGAGGTCGACCACGGTCAAAGTGCAAGGTAATCATGCACTTTCGCACCTAAGAATGTAATAATACAATTATAGAGTAAAGAAAATCATAAAAATTAAAATTATTTATGGGCATGAGTCGAATGTAAAATTTTTAGGCCTATGATTGAAGAGAAATTTTAAATTTCAGCATGGGATTAAAGATTCACGAAAAAACACTCAGAGCAAGTGTTTATCGGACTCATTCCCTGTGATAATTAATTTTTTTGCGGTCTGAATACATTATTGACTAATAACTATACAACGAACAATTATTTTATTTACAGAAATAGTTTAGTTTAGTCAGTTATTTTACCTGCAATTTGTTTAAAATCTTCATCCATTTTTTTGTTCAGGGAATACCGGAGTCAGGATAAAAAAAATTTCAGGGAGGGCGCTAAACGCATCCTTCCCTAATCTCAACACTTGTAACAGAATTGCTAGCGAATTTGCTGAGTTCACTTAGAGAACTTATATCATTTTTTGATACAGTCAGCTGCAACTGATGTAGCTGCGACAACTTTGTTGTAGGAATTCATTTTTCAATTGTCCTGTGCGCCTTGACTCTCGAAAGTATGACTTGATACTCTAGCTTATAGCTAAAATAACAGTGGCTGTAGAGATAAATTTGTTGTGCTTTCAATAGCAATGGCATTAGTGGAAATTCAGCTTTCATAGTTTCAAATCGAAAAAGATTTTGACCACAGTTTTATACGAACGTGATAGAGCTTCGTCATGGTTGAATATATGACTAAACATGCAGGAATTGTTAAACACTCGAGTTGAAAATGAAAAATTGTTTTGTAAGATAGCTTTTGAACATTTTTAATTGTCTAGTTTATTTGCAGACTTCTTATAACATCTGTTATTTTATTTTAAATAACATTATCATTTATTACTTTATATATAAACTACATATAAACTATAAATTGTATAGATATGTATTAACATCATAAAAAACTATAAATAAGTTTTTATTTTTGAGTTTTTCAATGTTCATACGTTGTTCGTCTTTCGCAGATATCATAAGTATATAATTAAGGACAGAAAATAATGCTCAGTTCTTACTCTTTCCAACGTGCATACTAGAAAGCAATTCGCAATATTGGTAAAAAAGCTATGACGAAAAAAAACAGAATCTGTATTTATAGGAGCCCATGTAAAAAGTATATACTCATTAATATCTACGCTCACAGTCACCCACGGTACACCAAAATTACTTTATTTAAATTTTTGATCACTTTTTTGCAGATTTTTATTCAATGCTCATCATTAATTCGATTTTCTAAAGAACATTCTTAGAGTTTTATGACTACATGATACTAATTGATTTACATGAGCTACGTGAATGAATACAGCTATATGAAACTTAAAGATACTATATTTGAACCTCTAAATTCGTGGTATCACTCGGTGGAATCATCTAAATACTATAGTAGAATTGTTTTGAATTTCTAATATTCAATGAATTCATTGATATGCATATAGAGTAAATAATAATATTTTAAAATATCTCCGATTAATTTTGTAGTAAAATGTTATAGGTATTCAAATAAATGCCCTACTAGTAAACCATGTAATAATCGATCTATAAATTGCAATCGACAAAAAATAAGACACGGTATTAAACTTGAAAAAATTGATAAAAAGTCAAAGATAAGTTAAAATGTGAAAATCAGTTCATCTCTTCGAAGGTTGGGTGGCCGCTCTCGCAAACAGCAGAAACAATTGCTCCAACGTAGACGAAAGTACAGAAAAGTCCTCGATGCAATCGTATTTGTTTTTAATTTCGTACATAGTATCGTACATTCTCCTCCAAGTAATATCGCAGCTCGCAATATGATACATAAGATAGCCCTAAAAAAGCAAAATCACAATTGGTACGTGCGAAAAATGCGTGCAAAATATTATAATCGAATGAGATCGAGCGTGTTTCGAAACGATATATATATTCCGTGGAGCAAATGCTTATGACGATGCTTACCGAATTTTCATCGACGAGCTGGCATTGCAGGGCTTGCGTAATTTCTCTTTTAATTTCGACGATTTGCAGCTGTGATTTGCCGGGATTTATTTTTACCTGCACGTCGTAGCCAGCGCCGAAACGTTGCTTCAGCTCCTGCGATGGCCCGATACAGACGAGCTTGCCGCCCACCATGATAGATAATCTATTGCACAGCGCTTCGCACTCTTCCATGCTGCAAAACAGAATAGACTCTTAGATACGTGCGACTGTTCATTCAATTTATTTTTATTGCTCGCTCTTTTTTCTGCTCTTTGATGTAATTTTAGCCGTGAATTATTATTCGTTCGGCTCTTATGCTTTGCGCATCGATCGCGCTTAAGTCTCTGTGCACGAAACAAAATCGTTCGAGAATGAGCTCGTTCTCGTTCATGTTTTGCATTTTAAAAGATTTGCATTAAACGATTTCAAAACATTAAGAAACGAGCCTGATTAATTTTTAAAATTATCGTACCTGTGGGAAGTTAATACAACAGCTTGACCAGTGGCTTGGCATGATTGGATGACGTTCCACAGGGATCGCCTCGCTCCGGGATCGACTCCGGTGGTCGGCTCATCTAGAAGTACTAAACTTGGCAAGCCGATCAAGGCAATCGCTATGTTCAAGCGTCGCTTGTTACCACCGCTGTAGGTACCACTTGGTTGTTTGGCACAAGCATTTAAATCTTTAAAAAGTTACAGACATGAGTCAATAACAGTATTTTTTATGTTGATATATTTATCTTCATATTTAACTTACTGAGCCTTTTGATCCAAGTAGCAACTTCTTTCTCGACTTGATAGCTCGGTATGCCCCGAAGTCGAGCGAATAGGCGTAAATGATCGTAAGCATTGAGAGAAGTTATAAGAGCATCGTTTTGAGGGCAGTAGCCCATTTGTGACAAAAACTAAAAACAGTCAACGTCCCTTGCAATATAAATCAATTAAAATTAATCAAAGGAAAATATTACTTACGTATGTTTTGTTCTTGACATAATCTTTGTCGTCCAAGAACATGATTCCACCGTCGGGGATTTCGCCCCCAGTCATCATTCGGAATGTTGTACTTTTACCCGCCCCGTTGACTCCCAACAGACCAAAGCACTCACGTTTTCGCACCCCAAAACTTACGTCTTCGACCGCTCGCACATTACCGTATAGTTTTCGCAATTCGTAAACAAGGAATGTCTGGTCGGCTGTTCTGCTCAAGTTCGAGGAGAACTCTTCGATTGTCAAGTGGCTGACGTTTGTCGCTATATCCTTGTGGGCCATGTCGATGTTTTCTGTTTTTTTTTTTTTAACGAGCTTATAGTTAGTTAATGTTACAAAACAACTAAAAATATACTTACTTCCAGTCAGAGCAAAAATTTTTTGCGAGATTGCATTTTTTTCGGCTCGTACTTGTTCGTCAGTTGGATCTATCACAGGTTCGAGTTTTTTGTATTTTTTCATCAAGGTTCCGATGACATTATACTCTAGCACTGCCAATATAGCAAAATACAGCAATGGAGTCAAAGCCAAATAAACGAGACTCTCTTCTAAGGTAAAGTCTTTGTCAAAATCGCTGAAGTAGTCCACTGATCTTGCGCACTTTCCATCGTAACAACCAAGCACTACACATATTACAGCGTGATAGACAAATGAAAAGTCATACAAAATGTTAACCATTAAGTTTATACTTACTGCAACAAATATTTAATCTGCGAGAGCTTCTACAGGATTCGTCGTAAAATTCATTTGGCAATCTTTTACACCTTGCATTTGTTTGCGCAGTTATAAAAAAAGATATTTGATTGTGAAAGAAACTAACGTAAGGTACAAGTAAAAATAGTCCTTTTTGAATTGGCCTTATAATTTGGACAGCTCTATAAACACCTAAATAGATATTGACAATCATCATAACGAGCTCCACCGAAACTGCAATTATGTAACAATAACATATATGAATAAATTTATTTCAGTTGATGTATATCTTGTTATAATATGAAAAAGATATTTTACCAAAAGCTAAAGGTATGTAAGTTATTATTCGCACAGCAGAGCTGCTTTCAATATTTAGAAAACTAAAGCTGTAGACTAGAGGCAATGTATTAACTCCAAACAAAATTAACGACATGAACAAAATCACTGAAATTTGATATTATTAATTCATATGATTCGTACAGTATTAAAAAAAAACTGTTATGATTGTGACTTACATATTTCTTTTTGTTGGAATATTCTGATATCCAGTATCAAGTCCATTGCTATGAAACCGCCTATTATCAATCCAACTAGTACTAAAAATACAATAAAATCTAAGAGGAGTATCGTACCCCAGTAACTGAAATACGAAACACCAGTCATTTTCTGCAAATGTTTCACTCCGGTTGACGACTCGCGCAGAGGATGAATGACAAACAGTGCGAGAGTTGGGAAAAAAAGAAAAACGAATATGACCGAGGTTGTAAACCCGTTCAACATTGTGTTATCTTGGTACAGTTTATCGCTGGACGGAAGAGGTTGCAAAGAAAAGCTTATAGATACGTCATTGCCGAGCCTAATCTTAGCCAAGGTGTTCGAGAGCATATTGACTGATATGGGCAGGCTGTAGAAAGGATTGTTCGAATAAAACGCATTGACCGAGAGGGTGCCGTTCGATGTTTTGTCGAATCCTGCTGCTGCGATCAAGTGATTGTTGTAGTATTGAAAATTTGTCTTGATTAATTTCATTAAACCTTTGGAGAATTATTTGAGTTAGTACACACTCATCACAGAAGCTATTAATTTATATGTCATCGGACCGTTTTAGTTACCTTCGTTCAAAGACTTCTCCTCTATTAGTGTGCTCGTGCCACCCATATTGTGTGACAATTCTTTATACTTCTCGCCATAATCCTTGAAATTATTCGAGTAAAAAGTTTTTGGTTCAAAATACATATCTAATCGGATAGGTGTTATTTTTTCTTCAGGGCTCAAAACACTTGTTTCTCGAAGTACGAGTGAGATGCTCATCAATCCAAAAAATACCTAAAATGAAATTGTACCTTGATCTTTTGGAAGAGCAAAAATTTTATTTCAGTTCATTACCAGAAGTATCATTATGAAAAGTGTTGACAAATTTTTCCATGTATAGATTATTTTCTTATAAATTAATGCATTGATTGCTTGTAAAAGTAGATTTGTTCCTTTTAATTTATAAACTATACTTTCAAAAGGACCTATTGATTTTTCTGAGCCATCGTCGTCTTGAGTAACCCTACGTAAATTACGAAAATAATTATATAATTGAAAAAATTCATATATTTATCAAAAATTGATTTCTCACTTTAAGAAAACCTGCTCCAAACTAATTAATGATACACTAAGACCAGATATGCCGAGATCATTTTTCATTCTTTCTAACTTATCGAGTGCATCTGGCAACTCATCAGAGTCAGGAATATTAAGCTGTATTTTACTGCCGTCAGTGTTTGTTATTTTTCCATTTCTGCCTAACTCATTTTTTATTTTCTCAACGTCACAACAAGGCTCAACTGACAATGTGATTTCCAAGTTATTTTCTCCTGAAATTTTTATCGTTTCAATTTTCTGTTTTGATAACTCTTAAAATCTAATGATTGAAAAATTAAATCGTACCCATTGATTTTTTCAAAAACATGGAAGTTCCATAACTTCTTAATTGCCCTGTGTGCATTATAGCTACCCTGTCTCCGAGTATATCTGCCTCTTCCATATCATGTGTGCTTATCAATATTGTTTTACGGCCTCGCATTTTCTAATAAAATATATAACAGATCGTATAAACATGAAATTTGATTCAAAACTTGAAGGACTTACTAATAATATATCCCAGATGACTCGTCTACTCTCGGGATCTAAACCAGACGTCGGTTCATCTAATATGAGTATCTAAAAGTATGAACCTTTTTTTGATTAAGAATTGAATAATATAATTTTTTTGTTATATCAATAGTATACTTACACTTGGATCTCCAACTAAAGCCATACCGAGGCATACACGTCGTTTTTGTCCGCCTGATAATTTTTCTGGCAATACGTTTCTTTTTTCATATAGATTAAGTTTTTTGAGAAATACATTGACTGTTTCTTCTATTACAACCTTGTTATTGGTTTTGCCTTTTAACTAAAGAATAAGTAGTTTATTATATTAAATCTTACACTCTTTTTGGTTGTACTTACCTTAGCGAAAAAAATTAACTGCTCTCGAACAGTCAAAAGTGGAAAAACCATGTTTTCTTGTGTACAGAGACCCATATCATTCATAATCTCTCTGAAATTACTTTTAATATTCTTTGAATTTACAAAAACTGAACCTTCGGAAGAACTCATCATTCCTAATTCATTGAAACAAAAATTACAACTTTACTGTGAAGACGGAAAAAACATAAATTTGAATAAACTTCAAAATATTTACCTGTCAGGATGGACATCATTGTTGTTTTTCCTGCTCCATTGTGGCCTAACAATGCTGTTATTTGACCTTTGAATAAGTCCAGCGTAATTCCTTTTAGTGCATTAATTTTCTATAAAAATATTCAATACAACCAAGTATAAGTTTAGTAAAATTAATTATTTTCAAGAAATATTTGCGTACCGTTTTATTAAATAGACCTATGTTGTAAGTTTTTTTTAAATTACGTATCTGAATTCCTGCAGTGAAAACACCGTTTGGAACTGATTCAAATAATTTATCGTCTCCTTTATGAATTTCGTATTTTTCTACATCTTCTTCGTGATTTTTTTTATTACACTGTAAAATGTCTACTGTTAAAATTTCGTCTAAAAGTTGAACATAAATATACCTGTGTTTAATTATTACCTGTAAAAAGTACAATAGGTCCTTTTTAACTCCATACTTTCCGGGATTAACAGCATATAAATAAACGGCAAGAGAAAAATGCAAAACCGTTCCTAGTATGGTCAAAATCATAATCATCCCTATGCTTCCTCCAAATTTATATGCGGAATTTCCTACATTAAATAAGTTGCTCCAATTGATTCCTTCAGCTGTAAACAATTTCTCATTAGAATATGGTACAGCTTTTTCGACAGGTAAAATTAAGTTTTGCGTACCTATTGTTTCGTAGTAATTAATTTCACCAATAGCTCTGTAAAGTAAAAGATTTGGAAAAATGATCCCCAGGTATGGTACAATAGGAAAATTTTTTTCAGTTAGTCCATATGTTTGTAAGGACATCGAGCCAACGACCATGATTAGAAGTCCGAACATGATAAATTGTGCTTTGAAAAAATAAAATATTGTAAAACTTATCCACCAGTCATAAATCAATCCAGTAGAACTCTCTTACGTTTAGAAAAATATCCTGACAAGTGTATTCCCATGCTCAATAAATGAGCTACGTGAAGCGTCCAAACGAGCCATATAATAAATATGTTTCCGTAATACAGGAATGGCACTGCATGACCGAAGGAAAATACTAGAAAAATAATACTGGGTATGATGCAGCTTACACTTATAAATATGAGTCCACTAAGAATCCAACTAAATAAATTGAGGCGATCGGAGACCCCATTCATTGACATCAAAATCTTGAATAAAAAGTCAAATAAAATCTATTCACCATTTATGATGTAAAGCATATATTTTTAAAAACTTACATTTACACCTAAAAATTTTTCATTTGACGCTTTAGCCGTTTCTATGAGCAGAGGTATCATCAATGAAACTACGGCAAAAGCAGCTAAGAGCTGTCTAAAAATATTATCAGCAAATTCTGGTCTTACGTGAGGAGGATCTGGCACTCGTTGAATAGAAAACTGAAAAATAATATTTACTATTACTATGGTATGTTTTATCAAAAGTTTTTTAATGCCAACAAAATAAGTAATACTAACGTTTTGATTTAACTCGGTACTTTTTGATTTGATTTTGATAAAAGTTTCATCCATGCACGTTTGATATCTCAATATATTAAATCTCATGAAATACTTGTACATATCGCGATTGAAAATATTAAACAAATCATTAAATGGGCTGACTGGGAATTTAGTTCTAAATTTATAATGAAAGTCATTCGAATTGTCTCCAACATTATTATCCATTATTATGACTATAAGTTCATTAAAAATCGTAGAATTAATTTTATACTCTAACAACAATTTTTCTTCTGTATCGAATCCTTTTATTGCTGTAAAAGTAAATAATGTAAGTAATGTTTATCAAAATGTTTTCTTTTTCAAAGCTTATTTTGATTCCGCGTAAAAAATTATTTTACTTACTGACTTTCTCATATTCACTCATCGGAAGACAATTTGTGGTAAGTTCTGTCATGAACTTTTTTGTAAAATCATTTTCCGGTGCGTACAATATAGTTTTAACGTAAAAGTTTTCTTGGTTAATAATGCTGTCTCTGGGAATACTGTCGTAATATTTAGGTGTGTCGATTTTTACCGGAGGCTCAGCCGTTAAATTTCTTATGGCCCATATTAAAATGATCAGTCCAACAGGTACTAAAAATTCTCCAAATACACTCATTTTCCATTGTCTTTTTCGTATCAAGTAATTCTTGTGCATAAGTAAGCCCAAAACTCTTAGAGTTTCCATTGTTGAGTGCGAAGTGTTTATACTTATTGCACAATAGATATTAAATGTCAATTACAATTGGTCAATCGATAGCGGCTTCTAAGTACTATTAATATAACTCATGCAGTTTATTTGTTCGGTAAATGACTTTTGAGTGCATTGATATTTTGAACGATTTTTTTCACATTGATGACATATCTGCTTTTCAACAGTTTTGTTCTGCTCATAGTCTAAAAAAAATTATCAAACATTACATACATTAATCGATAATCGACAAAAATATCAAAGATATAGCTAATTTTATAAAAATTATCCATTATCGCAAAGCAATAATGATGTATAATCTTTAAAGAATGCGAATAAAAAATGTATACTATCTCTATGAAAATGGCGTTATCTTTTGAAATGCAAATACCGAGTGCACCTGTCATTGAACGTTCGATGAGCGTGCAGGGTGAGTGCATATAATATTCAATGGATCGGCAAGCAAATTATTGATTTTCAACTGCGTGTGCGTATCGATACAAGGTTCAAAGACTTGCACGCGTAAAGTCGTTGCCATTTTTCACGTGTACATTTTTAGCGAATGATGCATGTAATTGATAGATGAATTTTATACTTTGATGTAGTCTTCGATTGCTTATCAAAGTTGACAAGTTATTTTTGATAAAAGCCACGTAACGAGTAAATGAAACATAGAAATTGGTTATTAAACAACTATAACGATTTAAATTGGTCTTTGTTAAATATCCTGAGCTTATTGTAATGATAAAGTAATGAAGTCACATCACTTTTTAAATAATTTTCCAGATATTTCAACTGTCGGAAATTTTCACATTCCATGACGCACAAGTAAAAATTGAAAAGTAAATCCTTTAACGAAATAAATGATTATTACATACCAGTTATACTTTCAGCATGATGTGGTACTTTGTTTATTGATAATTGATTTTGTCTTAGAAAACATGAATTGTAAATTTTTTTCAAAAATCATTTGAAAAATAACATGTGGTTTAAGTGATTCACAGTTCTATTGTACTCTAGATTTTTCGCTCAGTTCCAACTACGATTTTATAATACTTGATGTTTTTCTCTTTATCGCAAACCAATCTGTACGCAATGGTCAACACTCGTAGGAAATTTTGAAGCAGAAAATCATTAACTGCGGTAACTCAATTATTCACTTCACTGAGTATTTGCAAAAATTACATTATGTACACAAATGATTAACTCCACAAACAAATTATATTTCCGTGATTTACTTTTAACAACGAGACTACAACCTTATTATATAAGAATAACAATAAGTTTTATCGTATTAAGAAATCAATCGTTGATTCGTAATTGATTATGAATTTGAAATATTTGGCAAACTATCTATATGCAAGTAAATCTAGATGACAAAGCTGTTGGGTTGATCATCGCGCTCTCGTATACTAGATAGAACTAATAAGCGCGCGACAATCGTATCGCAAAAAAGTATACAGCTGTGATAAAAGATGACATCAGTTCAAATACGTGTGCGATCGTTACCAATAGCTTTGCATGTGGGGTTTTACTCAATGTCCGTTTAATCAGATTTTAATGTGACGAATATTACGTTTTAATCTTATCTAATATTTATATTTTTACACGAAAAAAACTTATCGAGTTCTATTTTACCATCAATAAATATATCCTCGAACGATTTTCAAGGACACCTTACCTATCGATTTAATTCATTAGTATTGAATAGTTTACAAATAATTACACGTAATGCAATTGAGTAAAGTAAGTAGAACTTGCTAAACTAATTGACGTAATAAATAAGGGCGTAAATTATCTCGAGCATTCAAATTTCATTGTATTGTTTTGATTGCATTACTTACTTCTGAAAATGAAACACCTCACAAATTGCAGTTGTGCACCTACTTTGTGCGGCATATCGTGTGCAATAATGCGTTTGTTCGTTCGTATACTGCCTATGTGAAATTGCGAATTTTCAGACTAGCAAGTGGCGCTCTCTTGCACTAATTTTAATACTTACACATTTATGTGTATGCATATAATATAGCAGAACATATTTGCGTAGTTTATAAACTGTGCATTGTTTGTATAAGTATCGTAATGTCCAACTAACTATCTCAGTATTATACATTATTTTTTCGTTAATTTTCGTTCGATATAATTGAAGGATTTTTTCTCAAAATTCTTTGAGTGTATTCTGTATCTTGCTAAAGTCAAATAGTGAACATTTTATGACGTTTTTTAGGAAGTGAGAAAGAGCTTTTTTCAAGATCATGTAAACAAGTCGACCTGTTAAGTTTTTAGTGTGATTTCCATCAATTCGATTCATCCTTCATTGAAAAACTTCTATTGATAATAATTAATGCAGATTATTTTAATAATAGTTAGACTTGATAAATTGAATTGGATATTTCAAAATGAGCTCATAACCTCTATAAGTTTATCTTCACGTACAAAATCACTGATATAAATTTAAAATATTTTTTTAGACTATGGCAGTAAATGTCTTCAATGGAAGTCTAATTTTACGTCTCGCAATAGTTACAATAAGCGTTATATTGTTTATATACATTCTTTCAAAGTACGATAAAAAAGTTTACATATAAACCTTGTTTTTTCATTATTATTCAATATACGGTCAAAGTACTTTTGTAAACACGTAGAATTTATTATATTTTGAACGTAAAAAACAAAATTAGTTAAATTTGTTTAGAATTACGATGGCGCTTGAACTATTAGTATTTTTTAGTTATATTTTGTGTCTGTTTTTAAGTTTTTTTTCATTATTTTATTTGTTCGCAATTTATAAACAATCTTACTGGTTAAAACGTGGGGTTTACACGCCTAGTAATTGCCACTGGTTTTTTGGTCATTTCAAAGATGCATTTTTATTAAAAAAATCTTTTTCTCAAGTTTTCGAGGACTTGTATAGTACGAATACTGATTCACCAGTTATTGGAATATACATGTTGCAAAAACCATTCTTAATAGTTCGAGATCCTGAGCTTATAAAACAAATGTTCATTAAAGATTTTAACGTGTTTTGTAATCGATACTTTGCTTCGAAGCGAAAAGCCGATATAATCGGTAGCTCAAATTTATTTTCGATCGATAATCCCAAATGGAAGTATTTGCGCTCGAAATTGTCCCCTGCATTTAGTATGGCTAAATCCAAAAAACTCGTGCAGTTGATGTTGAAGTCAACTGATGGCCTCATGAATCATTTAAGTTCTCAAACCACCGATGGGAAAACATCAACAATCGAATGCAGACAACTCAGCGACAAATACACTACGGATGTGATAACTTCGTTTGCTTTCGGCATTCAAACTAACTCGTACTTGAATACAGAATTTTATGATCGTAGTAAGTTGCATACATATCTTGATGCATCAAATCAACTTTAAATTCATATTTAATTTCTTTTGAATTAATTTCTTTTTATTCAGGTCGTGTAATATTTGATATGACAGTCCGTCGTGTAATTTTGACACTGTCAGTTTTCTTTTTTCCTCGAATTGCCGATATTATGAATGGTACGTTCTTAGATTCTTCAGAGGAATTTTTTAGGAACGTTTTCTGGAAATCTATGAATGAAAGAGAAAAATCTCGAACCAGCGAAAGAGGAGACATCATTGATTTACTAATCGATTTGAAAAATGAAAAACAAGATCCCGAATTCAGTGAGCTTTAAAGTTTAAATAATTTTATACAATTTTTATGTTCGCCGTAGAGTTTCGCGAATCAGTAAAAGAAAATGTTAAAACTTAAATTATAATGCAGGTTTTAAAGGTGATTATCTTGTTGCCCAAGCTGCAATTATACTTTTTGCTGGTATTGAAACCAGTGCAACTACCATGGGATTTACTCTTTTGGAGCTTGCTAAAAATCCTTCAATGCAAACGAAAGTACGTCACGAAATCCAAGAAATAATTGCAGAAAACGGGTTTACATATGAAGCACTTTTAAATATGAAATATTTAAATCAAGTTGTATGCGAAACTCTCCGATTGTATCCTCCACTGCCAATTATTGATAGAGTAGCCAGCGAAAATTATAAAGTAAACAGTAACTTACATAATTTTTTGAAATTCTTAAATAAACAACTAAGAAAAATCGAAATTATATGAATACAGATACCTGATACCAGTATTGTGCTAGAAAAAGGAACTGCTGTGTATGCCATCGTAAATGGATTGCATAAAGATCCACAGTTCTTTCGAGATCCCCATACATTTAATCCTGATAGATTTAGTGAAGAGCTTAAACAAAATATTAAGTCATGCACTTATATGCCTTTTGGTGAGGGTCCAAGAAAGTGCATAGGTAAGAATTTAAAACATTTTTTGATTCGTGTCACAAATTTTAATAATGAATATTTACAGGTATGCGAATGGGTCAATTACAATCTGTGGTTGGCTTAGCAACCATTTTAAATAATTATGAAGTTGCTCTAAATTCACAGTACGTGACTAAAATCAGCAAGAAATCTATGATTTTGGCTCCAGAAAATGGTATCAGGCTCGATTTTAAACGAATCAGTTTATTATGAAAATATGTTTTCATCTAATTTTGGAGTAAACTTAAACTCCAAATAGAGTTGTGACAGTCGAAAAAAACGTTTTTTACATTTTTAATGTACATATTTTTTTAAATAAAAAAGTTTCAATATGCTGTTGATAATAAATTGTCTTTTCGAGTATTTCCTTAAAATTATTAATCATAATTTTTCAATTATTTCATGAAAGTATTTATAATTTTGTACGCGAACGATAAGAATTTCTCAATTAAATGCTGCAATGTATATTTCTCAACTGTTTTGACAAGTTTTCAGTGCGATCACAATTATTTTTGAAAAATAGCACAAATGAATGTTCAAGAGACATTGAAAAAATTGAAATTGTTTCAATACAATCATATTTTCTCTGCATTTCCTTTTTTATATCGTACATTTTTTCCCACGTAGAATTATTTGTTTCCACGAAATAAATTATATAAATCTGAAAAAAATTAATTATAAACATTATATAAATTATAATTATAACTCAAAAGTCTTGAAACGTACCAGATTTTCTTCGATTATTTTGCATTCCAAAATTTGTTCGATGTTGTTTTTTATTTCATTTATGAGATTTTTCGATTTTCCTGGATTCAATTTTATTTTTATAGTGTAACCGGATGTAAAACGATTTAGTATATCTTTTGTCGGTCCAATACAAACAAATTTACCGTCTATCATAATTGCTAGTTTTTCACACAAAACCTCACATTCTTCTACACTGTAGATACAAAAAAAAATTTATTTGAAGATCTTAGTGGATTTCAAAAATATTCAGGATTCATAACCTTTTTGATGTCAATAAAATCGTTTGACCGTTTGTTTTGCAAGCTTTGATAACATTCCAAATGAAATTTTTAGTTTCTGGTTCTACATTAGTCGTCGGTTCGTCGAATAATATAACTTTTGGAGAACCAATGAGTGCCATTGCAAGATTTAAGCGTTTTTGATTATCATTTGAATAAGTACCGCTTGGTTGATTGGCACATAAACTCAAATCTATTAAAAATCACGTTAGTTATTAAATATTTTAATATTATATAATTATTAATTATATAAAATAAATATATACAGTAAAATCTCTCTATAGTGGACACTCTAAATAGCGGACACTTCGCAATAGTACCATTTTTAAAAATAATACATACTTAATTTTTCGATGTACTTTTTCACTTCTGCATCTACATTGTTTTCCGGTATTCCTCGTAAACGAGCAAATAAACGAAGATGATCGTGAGCGTTTAAACTATCGATGTGAGCATTATTTTGTGGACAGTACGCTAATTTTGAAAAAAACTAATTGCAAATTTTATTAGATTCCGAAAATATTTTGAAATGGCTAAAAAATAATTATAAATTTTACTTACTTCCCTTTTGCTCCATCTGAAATTTATTTCATCGACAAACATAGTTCCACTATTGGCTACTTCTTTTCCGGAAATTAAATTGCAAATCGCGCTTTTACCCGCTTCATTGTTCCCAATAATACCAAAGCCTTCATTTCTATCAACTTCAAAATTGATATCTGTAATGCTGAAATTATTGTTAAACTTTTTTCCTAAATTAGCCACTAAAAAAGCTTTTTCATTAGCTTTTTTGAGATTTGATGAGTATTCTTGAACTGTGATTGGATCTAGTTTAAACTCTTGTAAATTTTTATGCATGTTTTTTTTGTTATTTCCTATAAAATAAATTCAATTGATATTTTAAGTATGCAAAATAAATATAAATCAAAAAACATACCACAGTGTTCTAACACAGCCACATGTTTCATTACTGAACGTTTTTCATCAATTATACTTTCGTCCGAATCAATATGGTTTTCTTCTTTCATTAATTTTGGTACGTTTTTTGGCAATAGTTGATATTCCAATACGAAAAGAATTCCAAAGAATATAATGGGATTGAAACAAAGATAGATTAAGCTTTCCTCCAAATTAATATCTTTATCAAAATTGGTTAAAAGTTTCTGGTTTATCAGACATGCCCCATCGAAACACTTAAAATCTGGTTTTAAAAGATCAGTGTGGTTTTCAACAAAAAATAAGAATAATTAAATATTGTACGTACTGCAACAGGAATCAGAACTTTGATTTTGACATTCTATTTCATAAAAAGCATTTGGCATCCATCTACACCTAGAATTCGTTTGAATTGTTGTGTAGAAAGATATTTGACTGTGTAAAAAACTGATGTATGGCGTAAGAAGAAATATTCGTTTTTGTATTGATCTAATGACATGAACAATCGAGTAAGAGTTCAGAGAATTAAATACTAAATGCATTAGAAGTTCTAATGAAACTGAAAAAAGTATCATCGTTAAAATGAATAATTTAAACATTTTCAAATAAAATACATATGTTATTACCTATACCCATCGGCAAAAAAGTTAGTATTCGAACGATGGAGATCGTAGGTAGATTTAGAAAACTAAAAATATATACCAATGGCAATAAACTAGCAGCAAAAAGTACAAATAAAAATAGTAGCAAAGCTGAAAATTCAATAATTTTTTGGTCGATTAAAAAATGTTGTAGCGTTTGCTTTACGTTCAGAGTTAAGTATCAATAAAAATCTTACCAACTTCTGATAAATGGTACAAATCAAAATTTAAAGTAAAATCTAGTATAAGTAAACTGCCCAATAAAACAATGACAACCAGCATGAAGACGAACAAATCGAAAATAAATATTGTGAACCAGTAGGCAAATCCAGAAACGCCGGTCATGCGTTGCATGTGTTTCAAACCCAATGCCTGTTCGCGAGATGGATGCAAAACGAAGAGCGTCAGCGCCGAAAAGGAAAGGAAAGAAAACATGATTGCCACTGTTAAAGCGTTCTGTTCCGTTGAATCTGTGTAAACGAAATCATCGTATGTTGACAATTGTTGACCAGCTATTTTTATGGAGTAGCTGTCATTAATCAATCCCTTTAAAATTGCATTGGACACCAAGTTGATTGATATAGGTAGGCTAAAGGTCATTTTTTCTGAATAATATATACGAGCGTTCAAATTATTTTTGGAAATGTTTAGAAAAGTAGCCCCTATCAAGTGATTATCGTAATGTGAAAAGTCTTGCGAGGCTCTCATAAGCAATTCTGAAAAAATAACATTTGTTAATAAATGATTAATAACTTGGGTATGAGTTGAGTTCAATTAACCATTTGAAAAATTCGGATTGCTCATTTTTACGGCCATGCCGTTCTGTGCCTCTGTAACAAACTTATACTTGGCTCCAAAAATCTCATTGTTGCTTGTGTAACAAGTCTCAGGACTTTGATACAATCCAAGATGAAAAGGAATTATCTCCAAAGATGGCTTTGTGACACTAGTTTCTTTTAAAACAAATGTAATACTGAGTAATGCTTTAGGGACCTAAGGAAATAGTAAAACAATTAGTAGTATTTGTAATTTTTTTTTTCTTATATGTGAAAATCAGTGAAACAATGAAAACGTTTCAATGCATTGGATTTTATTTTTGTCAAAATACTAACCATTAAAAATATTAATAGGATGGTAATCAAATTTTTTTTCGTATATGTGAATTTTTTCCATAATAATGCACGAATCATTTGAAAAAAAAGTTTTCTACCGCTTACACTCTTTTCACTATAGCTAAGTGTTTCATAACTAATTTTTGGGTCTTCGTCAACTTGCATTGCACTAATACAATATGTCAATTAATACAAATTTATAATAATATAATATAATAATTAAATTAGGTTAATATAAAATATTATGTAGATGCATTATACTTCTAGTTCACCTTGAGTAAGCTCGTTCTAAATTAAAATTAAAGGCGGTAACATTTTTTATTCCATATTCAGACTTTCTCATTTCTAATTTGTCTAAAAATTTTGGTAGTTCAGGAAATTCATGAACTTTTATGATTACTTTATTTCCCAATCTATTTACGATATTCGTTTCACCATTCAATTCTGTTAATATTGATTCAAAATTGAAAGAGTTATCAACACTTAAAATTATTTCAATGGTTCCTTCTCCTAGTAATTTTTGGATTCAAAAATAAATTATTGATTAAATAAAAAAGTTATAAACTTATAAAAAGTATAATTTACCTAAAATTTTTTTCAAAAAATCTGACGTTCCATAACTCATCAAAAGTCCACTATGCAGAATAGCAATTCTATCACTCAGTACATCAGCTTCTTCAATATCATTAGTACTTAAAATAATCGTTTTCTCATGTCTCGTTTTCTGATAAAATAAATATTATGAAAGTAGTATTTGTAATTGATGTTAATTAAAATCGAATTTATTATCAAAATACCAATAAAATATCCCATATTAGATGTTTATCTTCCAAGTCCAACCCGGAAGTGGGTTCGTCCAGTATTAAAATCTAGAGCGAAATAAAATTTATCGAAAAAATTTTTATAATTTGATTAAACTAAAACTTACTTTTGGGTTTCCTACTAAAGCCATCCCAATGCATAATCGTCTTTTCTCATCTTCACGCAACGTTTTTGCTAAATTATCTTTTTTATCATATAATTTAATTTTCGTTAATAGTTCAATAATATGATCTTTGGCTTGATTTCGATCCTCATTTTTCATTCGTAGCTAAAAAAAATTATTTCACGAGATTGATTTAACGCAAGATCTAAAAAATCGGAAATGGATAATTTATGAAAAACCTTTGCTAGGAATTTGAATTGCTCAAAAATGGTCAGATCGGGAAAAAATATTTTACTCTCCATACAAAATCCTGTGAAAAAATTTTTCTGATCAACTTTTTCTCGATCGACGTTTACAGAACCATCAGAAGGATCAACCAAACCTTAAAACATGTTTGAATTTAATTATTTTGAAAATATCATTTCCGTCTAATAATTGGCTTTTACGTTTTATATCATTACCAGCTATGATGGATAAAAATGTGCTCTTGCCCGATCCTTTTCTGCCTAGTATAGAAGTTATTTGTGTTTCATAAAAGTCCATTGAAATGCCATTTAGTACATTGATTTTCTACATTATTGTTTTAAAAAGTACAGTTTAACTAAATCAGATTGATGAATAGTTGTCAACAAAAATTTTCCTACCGTTTTACTAGTCATCCCAATATTGTATTTTTTTGTTAAGTTTCGCACTTTAATGATTGGCTTGAATGATTCTTTATTTATAGGTTCGATGTTTTTTTTATTAATTTCATTTTTTGATAATTCATTTTGATCATCACTCAAAAATTTATTATTCATCTTTGTCTG